TGTTTGTAAACTAAAGTCTTTGAAAATGTAATAAGTTTTACGAAACGCGCTCAAATGTCGCGTCATCAAATCACAACTATATTCTACCCACTTCAAGACTCAGCTCCAATATAGAAGCATCAAGAAATATATATATATATATATATATATATATATATATATATATATATATATATATATATATATATATATATATATATATATATACACCCCAGAGCCTTCAGATAGTCGATATGACGAGTGTCTATAGATGTTAAGCAAACATGTTTTAATTGCATAAGAACATTGAATGCAATTCAAAGTACATTTGAAAGCTTACTAATGGAGTGATGGGCAGCTCTCATTTGCATATGGCTGATAGGAGCTGATCGCTTTGTGTTATGGCTGCCAACTTCTACTTGACCAATCAGCTAAAAAAAATTGTGACGTGTTTTAGTAAAAAATAAACCACCGTAATACTGACGTTCTCGTGAACACGAGCCTCGGACCAGTCATTGCATTGGGTCCTGTGCACGCACGATCAGACAGTGCACTCACAGTGAACTGTGTGCAGTGCACTCAAGAGTACACTCTGCACAGTCACTGAGTGCACAGTCACTGAGTCCACTCAATAATACACTCTGCACAGTCACTGAGTGCACTCAAGAATACACTCTGCACAGTCACTGAGTGCACTCAAGAGTACTCTCTTCACAGGCACTGAGTGCAGTCAAGAGAGTACACTCTGCACAGTCTCTGAGTGCACACAGAGACTGTGCACATGCATCGAGAGCTGCACAATAAACTCGCGGAAGCCGGGAAAAGTAATGGTGTAATTACACCATGTGTGTGTGTCATAAGTACAGAGATGAACACATGTAATCACATCAACACATGTTACATAATTACGTCTTTTAGCATGTTTATATCTTAGTACAGAACATGTATGTACACACATATATATACCAGCATGTGCATACATATTTACAAAGCACAGGCATGTATACAAGTACACAAACACACATATACACATACGGGACCAAAGAGCCAGAGCTCAACCCCCGCAAGCACAAGTAGGTGAGTACATATACGCAGTCTCGCGGGTCCTCGCGGCTGAGTGGACAGCGCTCGGGTTTCATACAGTCCTAAGGGTTCGATTCCCGGCCGAGGCAAAAACAAATGGCCAAAGGTTATTTTACCCCTGATGCTACTGTTCACCTTGTAGTAAATAGGTACCTATGAGTTAGATGTGTATGTATATTTACTATATGTATTTACTATTTGTGTCTGCAGAATCCAGCTAATAGCTCTTGGACCCCGCCCGTGTGTGTGTGTGTGTGTGTGCGTGTGTGTGTGTGTGTGTGTGTGTGTGTGTGTGTGTGTGTGTGTGTGTGTGTGTGTGTGTGTGTGTGAGTGTGTGAGTGTGTGTGTTTGTGTGTGTGTGTGTGTGTGTGTGTGTATACATATAAAAGCTGATTTTATTTTATTTCTATAGACAAAAAGCAATTTTTAACGAACAATTTTGAGCGAAAATATATCAGATAATTCACACTGTCTCTAAGACTAAACTCAATAAATTGAACTATTAATGACAGAAGTTAATTTGTGAAACAAATGGTGATTGTATGCAAGATTTTTAAGGGCGTCGCTGAGTAGAGAGAGAGAGACTCTCGGTTAAATGGACCGATAATATCTGTTTCACGATGTAATTTTCCCAACACCATTAACAGCGATTAGCTTCCACTCTATTGAGATCAGTTATGTAGCAAGCCTTAAGATTTTCTTTCTCAATGGGCGGTGGGACTGAGACTCAATGGGCGATGGGACTGAGACTTAATGGGCGGTGGGACTGAGACTTAATGGGCGGTGGGACTGAGACTTAATGGGCGGTGGGACTGAGACTTAATGGGCGATGGGACTGAGACTTAATGGGCGGTGGGACTGAGACTTAATGGGCGGTGGGACTGAGACTTAATGGGCGGTGGGACTGAGACTTAATGGGCGGTGGGACTGAGAGTTAATGGGCGGTGGGACTGAGACTTAATGGGCGGTGGGACTGAGACTTAATGGGCGGAGAGACTGAGACCTAATGGGCGGTGGGACTGAGACTTAATGGGCGGTGGGACTGAGACTTAATGGGCGGTGAGACTGAGACTTAATGGGCGGTGGGACTGAGACTTAATGGGCGGTGAGACTGAGACTTAATGGGCGGTGGGACTGAGAGTTAATGGGCGGTGGGACTGAGACTTAATGGGCGGTGGGACTGAGACTTGATGGGCGGAGAGACTGAGACCTAATGGGCGGTGGGACTGAGACTTAATGGGCGGTGGGACTGAGACTTAATGGGCGGTGAGACTGAGACTTAATGGGCGGTGGGACTGAGACTTAATGGGCGGAGAGACTGAGACCTAATGGGCGGTGGGACTGAGACTTAATGGGCGGTGGGACTGAGACTTAATGGGCGGTGAGACTGAGACTTAATGGGCGGTGGGACTGAGACTTAATGGGCGGTGAGACTGAGACTTAATGGGCGGTGGGACTGAGAGTTAATGGGCGGTGTGACTGAGACTTAATGGGCGGTGGGACTGAGACTTGATGGGCGGAGAGACTGAGACCTAATGGGCGGTGGGACTGAGACTTAATGGGCGGTGGGACTGAGACTTAATGGGCGGTGAGACTGAGACTTAATGGGCGGTGGGACTGAGACTTAATGGGCGGTGAGACTGAGACTTAATGGGCGGTGGGACTGAGAGTTAATGGGCGGTGGGACTGAGACTTAATGGGCGGTGAGACTGAGACTTAATAGGCGGTGAGGCTGAGACTTAATGGGCGGTGGGACTGAGACTTAATAGGCGGTGGGACTGAGACTTAATGGGCGGTGAGACTGAGACTTAATAGGCGGTGGGACTGAGACCTAATGGGCGGTGAGACTGAGACTTAATAGGCGGTGGGACTGAGACCTAATGGGCGGTGAGACTGAGACTTAATGGGCGGTGGGACTGAGACTTAATGGGCGGTGAGGCTGAGACTTAATGGGCGGTGAGGCTGAGACTTAATAGCCGGTGGGACAGAGACTTAATGGACTTAATGGACGGTGTGGGTTGGGGTCTTATAAGGACTGAGAGCTAAGACAGCACATGACTGTAAAACTGTCGCCCAATTGGGTGGGTGTGGAGCAAGAATAGTAACTGTGTGACTCACCATAAATGTAGAGTGAATTGTATAGTGACTGTTGTGAGCCTCTTGTTGAATCATTTGTGATAAAAAAGATTATCGATGGGTATATGTATTTGTGTAAGTGATTGTATATTTATCTATCTATATATATATATATATATATATATATATATATATATATATATATATATATATATATATATATATATATATATATAAAATGTTCCCTCGCTTCGTTTAACTATTCGGTAATACAAATTTGTGGTGAAAATAAAAGACCATTGCACGTAGTTGGACGAAGTGAAAATTGGATTTACAAGAATATGTTCTGCTTCCGAAGGCGCTGCGGAAGCATATGCTCGTAAACATATGGATATATTACCATTTTGTTTGCGCATATATTCTCTCAACACCGTATTTTCTGTCATAATTATTGGCTGATGCACAGTCAGCGAAAATTAAATTGTGGTTTACTTCAAAATAAAAATCAAATTACGCGAGAATAAACTGCGCAAGGAGAGATATGTGATTTGTGGTTAGTTTTCATTCTAGAGCGAACATATATGCCAGTATACAGAAGGTAAATATGAGGAGACCGGGCCGGTATAACACTATAGAACTTTTGTGTGTATATACATATATATATATAGAACAGAGGGAAGGAACAGTTCCCAAATCCCCTTTTAAACCATCGGGTATCGAACCCAGACCTGCAAGGAGCAGCATAGGAGTATACCGAGGCGTCGACAGTATAATTATATAGAACACGCGTTCTAACTGCCTCACACTCATATTATAGGCGGCTTGACACGCCTGTGTCTCCACACGGTCACACCAGCGTAATCTAAGCTGTGTACGACTGAAATTGTATTTGTTTTGAATTCCACGAGTGACTGAGCGAGGCTGTTGGGAGGCTCTGTGGGGTCTCTCTCTCTCTCTCTCTCTCTCTCTCTCTCTCTCTCTCTCTCTCTCTCTCTCTCTCTCTCTCTCTCTCTCTCTCTCTCTCTCTCTCTCTCTCTCTCTCTCTCTCAAATACACACACAAGTAAGGAGTGCGTGTAAGGAATCGTTCAGGACCCTGTATACCACTTATGTAAGACCAATCCTGGAGTACGCATCTCCAGCCTGGAGTCCATTCATAGTTAAACACAAAACAAAGTTAGAAAAGATTCAGAGGTATGCCTCCAGACTGGTCCCAGGACTAAGAGGTATGAGCTAAGAGGATAGGCTAAGGGAGCTGAACCCCATAACCCTGGAAAACAGAAGTGTAAGGGGAGACATGATAACCACCTACAAAATTCTCAGGGGAATTGACAGGGGGTGGACAAAGACAATCTCATCAGCACGGGTGGAACTCGAACACGGAGACACAGGTGGAAACTTACTACCCAGATGAGCCACAGAGACATTACAAAGAATTTTTTCAGTGTCAGAGTAGTTAACAGATGGAATGCATTAGGCAGTGATGTGGTGGAGGCTGACTCCATACACAGTTTCAAGTGTAGATATGATAGAGCCCAGTAGACTCAGGAATCTGTACACCAGTTGATTGACAGTTGAGAGGCGGGACCAAAGAGACAGAGCTCAACCCCCGCAAGCACAACTAGGTGAGTACACACACATAATATTTGTTATATATATAACAAATATGACAGACACAAATAAATCTGTGATCAGACTTACCGTTTGTACCGTTTGTACACGACACAAACGACGGTACTAAAGGCGACGGTCAAAGACCTAATTAACAGTTCGAGGCTCTACAGAGGCACAAATCAGCGAATATAAAGTTGTTTCAGTAATTATGCTTCTTTATTATGCTGAACTCTACATAAGCTCTACGGTATGAACAGAAGACCAACACAAGAGCCAGGCTATATTAAGACCAAGAGCCAGACTATACCAAGACCAAGAGCCAGGCTATATCAAGACCAAGAGCCAGACTATACCAAGACCAAGAGCCAGGCTATATCAAGACCAAGAGCCAGACTATATCAAGACCAAGAGCCAGACTATATCAAGACCAAGAGCCAGGCTATATCAAGACCAAGAGCCAGACTATACCAAGACCAAGAGTCAGACTATACCAAGACCAAGAGCCAGGCTATATCAAGACCAAGAGTCAGACTATATCAAGACCAAGAGCCCGGCTATATCAAGACCAAGAGTCAGACTATACCAAGACTAAGAGCCAGACTATACCGAGACCAAGAGCTAGACTATACCAAGACTAAGAGTCAGGTTATACCAAGACCAAGAGCCAGACTATACCAAGACCAAGAGCCAGGCTATATCAAGACCAAGAGTCAGACTATACCAAGACCAAGAGCCAGGCTATATCAAGACCAAGAGCCAGACTATACCAAGACCAAGAGCCAGACTATACCAAGACCAAGAGTCAGACTATATCAAGACCAAGAGTCAGACTATACCAAGACCAAGAGCCAGATTATACCAAGACTAAGAGTCAGGTTATACCAAGACCAAGAGCCAGACTATACCAAGACCAAGAGCCAGGCTATATTAAGACCAAGAGCCAGGCTATATTAAGACCAAGAGCCAGGCTATATTAAGACCAAGAGCCAGGCTATATTAAGACCAAGAGCCAGGCTATATTAAGACCAAGAGCCAGGCTATATTAAGACCAAGAGCCAGACTATACCAAGACCAAGAGCCAGACTATACCAAGACCAAGAGTCAGACTATATCAAGACCAAGAGTCAGACTATACCAAGACTAAGAGTCAGGCTATATCAAGACTAAGAGTCAGGTTATACCAAGACCAAGAGCCAGACTATACCAAGACCAAGAGCCAGGCTATATCAAGACCAAGAGTCAGACTATACCAAGACTAAGAGTCAGGTTATACCAAGACCAAGAGTCAGACTATATCAAGACCAAGAGCCAGACTATACCAAGACCAAGAGCCAGACTATACCAAGACCAAGAGTCAGACTATATCAAGACCAAGAGTCAGACTATACCAAGACTAAGAGTCAGGCTATATCAAGACTAAGAGTCAGGTTATACCAAGACCAAGAGCCAGACTATACCAAGACCAAGAGCCAGGCTATATCAAGACCAAGAGTCAGACTATACCAAGACTAAGAGTCAGGTTATACCAAGACCAAGAGTCAGACTATATCAAGACCAAGAGCCAGACTATACCAAGACCAAGAGCCAGACTATACCAAGACCAAGAGTCAGACTATATCAAGACCAAGAGTCAGACTATACCAAGACCAAGAGCCAGGCTATATCAAGACTAAGAGTCAGGTTATACCAAGACCAAGAGCCAGACTATACCAAGACCAAGAGCCAGGCTATATCAAGACCAAGAGTCAGACTATACCAAGACCAAGAGCCAGACTATACCAAGACTAAGAGTCAGGTTATACCAAGACCAAGAGCCAGACTATACCAAGACCAAGAGCCAGGCTATATCAAGACCAAGAGTCAGACTATACCAAGACCAAGAGCCAGGCTATATCAAGACCAAGAGTCAGACTATACCAAGACCAAGAGCCAGGCTATATCAAGACCAAGAGTCAGACTATACCAAGACCAAGAGCCAGGCTATATCAAGACCAAGAGTCAGACTATACCAAGACCAAGAGCCAGGCTATATCAAGACCAAGAGTCAGACTATACCAAGACCAAGAGTCAGACTATACCAAGACCAAGAGCCAGGCTATATCAAGACCAAGAGTCAGACTATACCAAGACCAAGAGCCAGGCTATATCAAGACCAAGAGTCAGACTATACCAAGACCAAGAGCCAGACTATACCAAGACCAAGAGCCAGGCTATATCAAGACCAAGAGTCAGACTATACCAAGACCAAGAGCCAGACTATACCAAGACCAAGAGTCAGACTATACCAAGACCAAGAGCCAGACTATACCAAGACCAAGAGCCAGACTATACCAAGACCAAGAGCCAGACTATACCAAGACCAAGAGCCAGACTATACCAAGACCAAGAGCCAGACTATACCAAGACCAAGAGCCAGACTATACCAAGACCAAGAGCCAGACTATACCAAGACCAAGAGCCAGACTATACCAAGACCAAGAGCCAGACTATACCAAGACCAAGAGCCAGACTATACCAAGACCAAGAGCCAGACTATACCAAGACCAAGAGCCAGGCTATATCAAGACCAAGAGCCAGACTATACCAAGACCAAGAGCCAGGCTATATCAAGACCAAGAGCCAGACTATACCAAGACCAAGAGTCAGACTATAGGACTATACCAAGAGCCAGACCTTCAGAATGATACAATAAGAATGAAGATAACTGTTTATTACAGCAAAGATATTTGTACAGATATAAACATTCCATATTGAGAACAAATCCACAAGGGCCGTGACGAGGATTCGAACCTGCGTCCGAGAGCATCCCAGACGCTGCCTGTCTGTTCATTTGATGCATCACGCAATTTTGATTTCTGTGTGTTCCATATTGAGTACATTACAGTGTTATACTCATGTCTCTTCAATTTATTTCAAAACTGGTTAGAATGATAATACATTTTAGGCTCAAGCTAAGGATATTTCCACTTTAATTTGAGTACAAAATGCTTCAATGAAACAAAAATATGCATTAAAATCCAATACACTTCGTTCAATAACACATTATTAATTACAGTGTATTCGTCTGTACCCAATGAATTTATTTTTTTAATTCGAACAATATCCATCTGTAATGTACAGTGATAAACCTGGATTAAAATTACATTGTTTAAATTATATATATATATATATATATATATATATATATATATATTTATATATATATATGCTTGTTTATATTGTACAAAACAAAAAACCTCACCCATTTACCACAATCTGCCAACATAGTATTACCACCATGGTGTCAGCATATTCTGCCATCATCGCCTCTACCCCTCTACCCTCTCTCTCTCCCCTCACTCCTCATGCCTCAGTTGACAACCATTCCCCTTCTCTCTCTCCCCTTCCCATGCTCCACCGAGCGGAGAATTCGCTAAACGAGTCCCTGAAAATGAATCATTGTTGTTATTATATATTTTTTTTGTTTTGTTTACCTGTCAGCGCCAGACTTTATGTATTCCTCACTCACTATATTTATCTCACTGTTTCTCATCATGATGATGAGGGGTGGGACACAGAGCTGCTGTGGTACACTCCACGTTATTACTGTGGTACACTGCCACACTATCACTGTGGTACACTGCCACACTATCACTGTGGTACACTGCCACACTATCACTGTGGTACACTGCCACACTATCACTGTGGTACACTGCCACACTATCACTGTGGTACACTGCCACACTATCACTGTGGTACACTGCCACACTATCACTGTGGAACACTGCCACACTATCACTGTGGTACACTGCCACACCACCACTGTAGTACACCACCACACCATCACTGTACTACACCACCACACCATCACTGTACTACACCACCACACCATCACTGTACTACACCACCACACTATCACTGTAATACACCACCACACCATCACTGTACTACACCACCACACCATCACTGTACTACACCACCACACCATCACTGTACTACACCACCACACCATCACTGTACTACACCACCACACCATCACTGTACTACACCACCACACCATCACTGTACTACACCACCACACCATCACTGTACTACACCTCCACACCATCACTGTACTACACCCCACACCATCACTGTACTACACCTCAACACCATCACTGTACTACACCCCTCACCATCACTGTACTACACCTCCACACCATCACTGTACTACACCCCTCACCATCACTGTACTACACCCCTCACCATCACTGTACTACACCACCACACCATCACTGTACTACACCCCTCACCATCACTGTACTACACCCCTCACCATCACTGTACTACACCTCCACACCATCACTGTACTACACCACCACACCATCACTGTGAGTGACATGAACACTTACACCAGAGGAAGTTGTTCATTTCCACAGGAGTATACTCATGGCTGAACAAGACGCGAAACGTGAACACAGAGCTCATTATGCTGTCAGCATAATGTCCCCACATACATTACCTGCGGTATGCTAGTATATCCGTCCTCCTGGTATGCCACATACCTACGTCATCAACTTCACCCTATCATTAAGGCATGAATTATATCATGGCATTTGTTGTAAATAATATTTTTTTAATGTTTGTTAATCCAATTGTGGGTTAGAATCTCTTAAGACTACGGTCAAGTATATATATATATATATATATATATATATATATATATATATATATATATATATATATATATATATATATAGATGTTGTACCTAGTAGCCAGAACGTCGTACTCGGCCTGCTATGCAGGGCCCGATTTGCCTAATAAGCCAAGTTTTCCTCAATTAATATATTTTCTCTAATGTTTTTCTTATGAAATGATAAAGCTACCCATTTCAATATGTATGAGGTCAATTTTTTTTTATTGGAGTTAAAATTAACGTAGATATATGACCGAACCTAACCAACCCTACCTAACCTAACCTAACCTATCTTTATAGGTTAGGTTAGGTTAGGTAGCCGAAAAAGTTAGGTTAGGTTAGGTTAGGCAGGTTAGGTAGTCGAAAAACAATTAATTCATGAAAACTTGGCTTATTAGGCAAATCGGCCCTTGCATAGTACAATATATATATATATATATATATATATATATATATATATATATATATATATATATATATATATATATATATATATATATATATATATATATATATATATATATATATATATATATATATATATATATATATATATATATATATATATATATATATATATATATATATATATATATATATATATATATATATATATATATATATATATATATTGTACTATGCGTTCTGGCTACTAGGTACAATATATATATATATTGTACCTAGTAGCCAGAACGCATGGGAGACTTTACCTACTATGCAAGGTCTGCTTTGCCTAATAAGCCAAGTTTTCCTGAATTTATATATTTTTCTTATGAAATGATAAACCTATCCATTTCATTATGTATGAGTTCATTTTTTCAATTTGAGTTAAAACTAACGTAGATATATGACCGAACCAAACCAACCCTACCTAACCTAACCTATCTTAACGTAATCTAAACTAACACAACGAAGTCAATAATTTATGTTCTTAATATAATATAATAATAATAATTCAAATGAACTAGTTGGAAACAATTTATTGAAAAAAATCTCTCGGCCTATTAGGCAAATCGGGCCTTGCATAGTAGGCCGAGAAGCGTGTTCTGACTACTAGGTACGACATATATATATATATACATGTGTGTGTGTGTGTAAGTGCTTTGTGGCCTTATTTACTTTTGTGGGCTGATCTACAGCTCTTGCAACTGTTGTCAGCTGTTTCGTTAACTGCGTCTCCTCCGACGGATTGCAAATCAGCAATTACACAGGACTCTCTGTTTACATTTTTCCATATCCGAGAAGTGTATTTATAATGTCGTGGGAGGTGCTCGCAACCTTGCCCTGGTCTGTCTACCATAGGACCATCTACCTTTCTATCCATCCATCTATATGGACATGTAAGATGTCCCCGTCTCGCAAGTAGACACTTAAAATGTGCAGGCCTCGTAAGTGGCCACTTTAAGATGTATAGGTCTCGTGTATTTGGGAGGGGAGGAAGGTTGTTGTGTGGGGGGGGAGGGGGGGGGTAGTGGGGCGTGGCTGTTGTATGGATGAGTGTGGGTGGGCTGTTGTGGGTGGGGGGGGGAGGAGTTGTTGTGGGTAGGTTGAGGTCCTGGTGGATATTGTGTGCTGGGTGGAGGCTCATTAGTGGATAGAGACTAGGTGCTGGATGAGGCTGGATGCTGTGTGTAGTCTGAGTGCTGGGAGAAAGCTGGGCTGGTTCTAGGGTGAGGCTGTGTGTGCTGGGTGGAGACTATAGGTGCTAAGAGCAAGCTTGCTGAGGGCTGGGCACAGAGGCCAGGTCTGGCCCTCTGTGACCAGCTGGCTGTCAGGGCTGACCCAGCTGGCAGCCGGGGCTAAGGTGGGTGCAGAGAATGGATGAATGTGGCTGCTGGGATGAGGAAGATTTCTAGCATACGGCTATAGTTACTAGGAATAGGAACTGAACGCTCGAACAGAGCCTGGTGCTAGGAGCGTGCTTGCCTAGAGCTGGGTAGAGCGCTATTGAACGCCCCAATGGGAAAGGTTTTCTGGAGAAGTGGGGGTGTGTATTTACTATTTGTATCTGCAGAATCGAGATATTAGCTCTTGGACGCCGCCTTTCTAACCAATTGATTTTTCTTCTATTATGTCTTCTTCATATATTTGTCTTATACATATACACACACATCCCCCCTAGAAGCAGCCCGTAGCAGCTGTCAAACTCCCAGGTACCTATTTACTGCTAGGTGAACAGAGGCACTAGGATGGCAAAAAAACTCTGCCCATTTTTTTCTGCCTCTCCCGGGGATCGAACCCGGGCCCTTAAGACTACGACCCCAGAGCGCTGTCCACTCCACCGCGAGGCCCCTGTGTGTGATGATGGAGGTGAGGAGGAAGAGAAGGAGGAAGAGGAGGAGGAGAAGGGGTGGGAGGATGGGGGTGTTGTGGGGAGGGGGTTCGGGGGAGCGGGGGGGGGGGGGGGGAAACAAGAGAAGTGGAGGGTACTCTAATGGTTTCATTTATCATCTTCTGAGCAAGCGTTATCTGTCGTTATGATAATTACTCCGGCCATCTGACGGTCACGCTCGGACCTGCGCTTATTGCCGTTGTAGGCGCAGCGTGACGGCGCACACGCAAACATATTTACATGGTAATTGCCACTTTTAACAACGTAACGTAGAAATATGCTTGGCAAGTGGTGGTTTGCGGCTCTCAACTCATCGCCATGATGGGTGGCTGCGGGTGACAGTTCGTGTCAACACTCTAACAACCAGGCAAGACAACAGTGCTGTGTTCACTGCTATTCCAAACTAAACTTGTGCTGTTGTGACGAGTGTAAACAAATCAGGAAAGACAATGGTTAAGTTCAAATCAAACAGACAGGACAATGGTGCAGTTATGGACGAGCATTAACCCTCCAGAAAAATGGCAGCAGAACAGTCCAGTTACAGGGAAGCACAAACAATCCAGTTCAGTCAATAGTGGCATACACGTAACAGCTGAAACAACAATGTAGTCTTGTTTGACACAAACAAAGTAATATAAACAAGTGGGGATCTTTGTTAGCACTAAC